TTGATTAAATAAAAGAAAATTAAGCAAATGTTCGTTATATGAGCGGTAGATGTAATGGAAAAGTGTTGCCATAAAATTATTGAAAACTAAATGCAAACTAATTAAAACAAATGTATGAATAGGTGCTTAAAATGGATGATTTCTGTTGTATCGGCACATTATTTGGTTTCTCATATCAAGTGTTGATTCAATAGTTTTTGCCATTAATTGGAACTCAATCTAAAAGTGTTAACACATTTATGTGGAAAGGCCTCCGGCTTTCAATTGCAGAGCTTTTAATGAAAAGTTGCTTAGAATTGAAGTTTTCATTACTGATGGCTCATCCCTATGAGTACCCGAGTTCTCTCTGTCAGAGGTATATAAACGTGAATTGTTTACATAAAAAGTAAGGCATTAGTTATTATACAAACTATTGTAACACTATATATTAAACAATTTATAATACATCAAAATCTTTAAGAAATATTGTAATTGTTCAGATCATATTTTAATTTATATTTTATCAAATTTTAAGTTAATTTTTTAGTTCACTTTATAGAAGTTTTATCATTCAACTTATTGATGCAATTTATTTACTAAATGTGTTTACTTATATTCATTATTTAAATCATTTAAAGAAAACAATATTAAAAATTTATTATAATAATATAACAATCAATTAACAAATATTATACACACTTACAAACTCTTAAAATAACAGATGTAATTAAGTAAATTATAGTAATATAACTTAAAGTTACGTAATCTAATTATTAATTAATTAGCAACCTAAAGCTAAATTATTAATTTAGCACTCAATTAATTCTAGAAATTGAAAACAATAACCAAAGATTAATTTCTTTAGGCAAAGGAATATATTAAAGAAGTAAAGAATATGTAATTCATTGCAAAAAAGTGTTATATTTTAAAGTTATAATGAAAGTGAAATACAATACAATTCATACCCTGAATGATAGAATTCATTAAACTTTTCATTTTCCACTTTTCCCTTAAGAAGTAAAATATTATTCAAAACATTATTATATAAAATGAAATACTTTTGTGAATGAAATTTGTTGGCAATTGGTTTGGATGTAAGAGAAAACTTCTCAATTCAATGAATGTCAACGCATTTGTCTACAGACTTATGATGAGCGCCAATATCTTAGCATTTGATGAAGTAATCTCGTGTTGGTTTACATTGAATTGAAATGAGTTGTTGGAAAACACGAAAAAAGTTTTACGAGACCCACAACTGTCCGCATTGGGAATGGTGTGACACACGTGTTGGGGTGGCTGTGGAGCCGAGAGTGTGGGAGTGTGTCGGTGAGGATCGGTGGCAGTCGGACACGAGTGCGCATCCGTGGCCTCACTAATCCTCTTGAGATATTAGTTGCGTCCTTAACGTTAAGTATAGCTCTGTTAGACTGTTAGATATGTTATGTTATTACAAATCGTCATATTCTCTCGTATATACTCTCATACTCTATACGATAGTCATGCATAACGTATGGTATGATTATGTTATTGAAGAGCCCGAGCTCTTAGGCTCACAGTTACCAATGTTTCATGTGATGCACATCTCGTGAATATATTCATTTTTACCCCTACTTTCCTCTCATACATACTATAAGCGTATTTTGCTCATGAATTTTAGACTAGACGTGACTTTTTATGTGTACCATATTATGCAGTTATCATAAGCCATGTATTACTTGAGAGCACACGTTTAGTTACCAACAAATTTTATATCTATATTCACTTGAACTCAATTGTAGGCATACCATTTCCAGAGTCAACAAATTATCTCAATTAAAGTTTTAAATTGCATTCAAATGACTACTTTCAACACTAATCATAAGACAAATTCCCGATTATATTGCTCTTCATAAATAAATGACTACACAATACATACACTCCTTTCCATTAATAGTATATCAAAATTATTAGATATTATTATTGCTTTCGTATTATTGTTATTATGCTTTCCAGTCAAATGCTATCAATAAAACAGAATCAACTTTTCAGTGCATTTCAATTCAACACATCTATGCCATAGAGTACAGACAAAATTGGATGTATTAATGTTATGTATAAATAATATGAATTTTTTACATTTTAGACAATTGCCTAGAAATGCAAATAAACCTTTTATTTATATTGGTTTCAAATGCTGTGCAAACATGAAATTTAATTTTATTAATCGATTCATTACTTTAAATGAATGTAATTATGATTAATGAATATAATTGGTTTGTGTTTTCTTGCGATGGCAACAAAATTTCTCACTTCTGAAGGCATATAAATATTCATTGAATAATAAATGAAATACCTTTTAGTGAAATATATTTTATGTCAAATAAAATTCGTTCAGTTCTTCAGTTAACGCGTCCATTGAATAAGAAAAATAGTGAAACCGAAACCACTTTTAAGAAATTTATATTATCTTTAATTAACAGAATATTAAGTTGAGATAAAAGTTCTCAATTTATGTTAATAATATTTATAATGAAATAAAATTTCAATTTAGTTTCGGTTCCTTTCAAAAGATACTATCATAGCGTACTGTATATTAAATTTTCAACTTATTGTGGATTTTACTTTTAAAGTAACAAAATTAGAAACAAAGAAAAAGTTACTAAAACTAAATTGAATTCATCAGAAATGGCCAACAATTGCTTCTGTAATAAAGTCCTTTAATTTGCAATAATTTGAGTTAAAATTGCTTTCACAAAATATATATCAAATCTAATGTTAATAATATTCATCTCGTACGCTTTTAAAGCATAACTCTACTCTATGTTTAAATCTTTTAAAACAATTGAGTGCATCACATAATTTTAGTACATTTCAAAAAATATTTTTCTTAAACTGTTTAAATATATTATATTATATAGGCTATAATATATTATAAAGGTCAATTTGAAAACTTTTGAGAAAAATTTGTGATACCGTTTGTTAATATTTAATATTTGTTTGTTATCTTGCACAAATAAATTCTAGTTTAGCGCTAAAGTAATATATATTTTGAAAAATAAGTTTTAAAATCTTTTCAAAATATCTATTTTCCAAATGGTGTTAAGAGAAATCATAATATTTTTGTGAGCCTAACACCAGAATCACAACTCATATTATTATTGATCGTATGTTAGTCTATAAGAGTTGGTCACTACTCAACACATTGCCATTTGGCATCATTTGATAGTATAATACGGAATATAATGAATTATTTGCAATAAACTGTATTTATAAAGAAAACACATCAATGCATTCAAATCGTATGAATCCAAATGTGAATGCAATCATATTCTTGCTCACATATTCTTATCAAATATAAATAATACAAAACCTATCATAAATGTGCTTTTAATATTGTTTAAAATATTCCAGTAAATTAAATAAAATTAGTTATAAATTATAGCTATAATATAAATAAAACAATTCTTACGGGAGTTCATCAATTAATGTTTTAGATAAAATCAATGAGATTTAATATTTAATTAGTTTATTATCAAATTGAATAAAATTATAGCGCTTTTGTAAAGAATGTATAATTTGGTTGACAACGAATTGATTTTTTATTAATATTTTTATTCTAGTAATAAAACTTTGATTATAATAAAACAGTAATTCATATGATGTAAAACATTAGTGTTCAGTGTTTATAATTTAGTCCTTTGTGTTTACTATTTGGACACAAAAAAATTGATAACAAATGAATAATTCCGTCCACAATAAAGTCTACATGTCATTAGCGTTTTTAATTCAATAATGGCTTATGTTTTATGCTATTGACTACTTATAGATATAGATTTGAATCACTTTTTATGTTTGATTACATCAATCATCATATATTGCAATCAACTAATTATTACAACTTTTCGCACAGAAGTACAGAGAGATGTAATAGACGTGCCCTCACTATATAATAGGTTGATGTACTGTACAGTACTATATTTTAGTTACCGAATATATTGCATAGTATATGCATGGTCAATTATATTATTTATACCACACTCTTATATATTCAGCAACTTTCTGCACACACATACATGAATACATTTGCCGTATAAATAAAATAAAGGAAATAATTTTGATGATTGAAATGATAGAAAATTGGAAATTCTTGAAAGTAAACAAACAGTTTATTCTTAATTAGATTCCCAATGAGAGAGCAGTTATTCCGGTTATCCCAATCTCATCTAACATCACATCCGAGTGACAACGGCTCGAAAATACTCTAAAATAACAGTTTTGTATACTTTGGATACCAAAATTTTCAACAAAGTAAACCACATAGTATTTTATCTCTTATTGTTAATGAAATGCTTTAATTATATTGTTATTAAAAAGTAATAATATTTTTGGAAAATTGCAAATAATTAAGAGTCAGAACCACAGAAAACATTAGTCGGTTTGGGATTTGCGGTCATTTGCTCTTTCTATATCACAATGTTATCAAACATATTATTGATTACGGAATGAAAAATACATTTGTTAAGTGCAAATATATGGAGACTGTCTCTCTTGAGCCCATGAGTATCCCTACTCGGTAGTCATTACTTTTGAAGAATTCTAAGCAACTTTTCATTAAAAGCTCTGCAATTGAAAGCCGGAGGCCTATCCACATAAATGTGTTAACACTTTTAGATTGAGTTCCAATTAATGGCAAAAACTATTGAATCAACACTTGATATGAGAAACCAAATAATGTGCCGATATAACAGAAATCATCCATTTTAAGCACCTATTCATACATTTGTTTTAATTAGTGCAGCAAACCATTCGCAGCATTTAGTTTTCAATAATTTTATGGCAAAACTTTTCCATTACATCTACCGCTCATATAACGAACATTTGCTTAATTTTCTTTTATTTAATCAATTATTATTCTTAATGATGTTTTCTCAATAATGTAATATCCGATTGTAAACTATCTGAATAATGATAACTCACTTTTGTATAAAAACTATTTAATTACCATGCACTCAAGTCACGCTTTTGTTAGTAAGTAAGTGTGATTATCTAATTTCAGGCGGAATGTAGTCCTCGTCGACCACTGTTTTGGACTTAAGTTCAGCTATTTTTTGTTCCGCTGCCACGAAATCCATCTCATGTTTGGCGAAGTTCTCGAAGAAATACATAATTCGATGCTTTTCTTGCATTTCGCTCTTCTTGTCGTCCAATTGTTTCCTTCGCTCCTCTTTCAGCAAATCCTCCATTTGTTTGTTGAGCGCTAACTCTCTATCCTTTTCCCACTCTTTGAAAATCTGTGGCATTATTTCCGTGTCTTTTATCTCTAATTCCTTTATTTCCGACAACTTCTGCGAAACTAATTCATCCAAATCTTTGTCCACAATTTGCGAGTCGTTGTCCATTACATCTAAAACTTTCTTAATGTCTAATAATATCTGTTTATGGGTTGACTCGTCGGTCAACTTCTCAATTGATTCGTCCACTGTTTTGACGACATCTTTGACTACATTTTGTTTAAGTTTCTGAAAACTAGTCAATAATTTCAAACATTTATCCCATTTCTCGTACAAAATGAGACCAATTATCTGCTGACTTCTACCAACGATATCATCAAATTGTTTACTGAAAAAATAAAGCGTTTTTCCGCACAAATGGTTGGCGTCTCTAATGTCGAAGTGATCGTCAAACCATTTATTCCTGAGATAAGGCACTCGTATGTACTGAACCTCTTCGTCGTTATCATCGGTGGTGATGACGGCTCTATCGGTACAGGCGTTCGGATAGAGTTCGTCCTCTTTGGCCAGTCTTTCGAGTTCTTCGGATTCAAACCATTCGCTTCTATTCTCTTCTCTGAGATATTTGTGAACTGAATATAAGGCGAGCCGTTGACTGATGCCATTGCCACAGTCCTCCTGAGCCATCATAAGTGCGGCCACTCTGGCGGCTGCCCTCCAGTTCTTCTCATCGATCAAGTGATCCAAAAGCATATTATAAGAGAAGAGATCCGCGAATATTCCGAAACCAATTCGATCGCTAAGAATGTGAAGCAAACGATCGGTTTGTCTGAATTTGAGGAAAACTCTGCAGAAGGCGTGATGTGTCGACTCCAGAGTATTGACGGTCTCTTTGGATCGTCTCAACTGATACACCAAATGCTGCAACTCTTCCAACTGTTCCACTCGTGTCACACAATTGGCGAATATGTCCACATCCACTGCACTCACCCGCAGCTTCTTCTGGTACCTCTGATTCAGTTCACTGAACATCGAGTCTACCGGCGAAGACATTTGTGGTTAACTATAGTCAACAAAATGGGATCAAAGAGATGACAAACCGGCTCTATAAGAGTAGTTCTCTAGCGAAAACTTAGACCTGAGGGTAAGGAAGAGTGTACTCATCCTCACGGGATTCTAACACGCCTAGACTATGAACAATTCAGACAGTACAGAACGTGAGTTGTCTAGGAGTGATTTAAGACATGAATTGTATGAACGAAACGCTTTCAACGCTTTCAAAGTATTCATCATTTGATTAGCGATTAAACGCTTCAATGTTTTGATTGTCCGGCGGTTCACACATGCGATCACTCATTGACTCTACACTCACGACATCTCACGGACACCACTCAACACATTCACCACTATCTCCAGAATATTCTGTATTCTGTAAGATTTATAATACATTATAATATAATATATTAGTTATATAAATAATTTTATTATAATTAATTTTCAAAATATTCGTGAATAATATCCATTCTAATTAAAAATTAACTTTATAAAAAAAAGTTTTAATAGTAACGTGGAGTACATATTACATGAATTATTCAGTTTACAGTTATTAACTGTAATTTAGACATTCAGTTATAATTGTTATAAAACTATATTTTAAAGTGAATATTAAACTTGATTTTCTTCGGTTTCGATAATTGGCTCAAAATGTTGGAAATTCTCATAAAGAGGTGTTTCGTCGATTGGCTCTGACTTGTGAGCGTCGGTAGCATTAGTATTGGTGGCGATATTCCTGGGATTAGTGATCGGCTTCTTCCTGACCCATGATTTTTGGAGACGAGAGAAACGATTGGAAAGATTTCGTTTGCGTAGACCCGCGTAGACTCGACTCACGTTTTGCTTCAATTCATTAAGTACTCACATTTAGTTTCAAACGAGAAATTATTATATATAGATATTTACCTCGATTAAATCCTTGTCTTTAGTGTGATTTGGTTTTACTCTAATATTTGGCGCGTCTTTTACGTCTGAAAACATACAATTAGTTAACAAAATATATTTTCAATGATAAAACTTCTATAAAGTTAACTAAAAAATTAACTTCAAATTTGATAAAATATAAATTCAAATATCATCTGAACAATTACAATATTTCTTAAAGATTTTGAGATATTATCAATTGTTTAAAACCTGCGAAATAGTCTTCATAACTCTGGAGCACATCAATGCCAAAAAATTCTGCAGTTTCGTCAGGAAATCTCAAGTCCGAGAAAAATGCAATGACTCCAAGAAATAGACAGAATATTCCTTAAAATAAAAATTAGTGTCAAAATTTAAAAAAAATACAATTACATGAAATGCCCACCATTTATAAGATTCAAATAATAACACAACGAGTAGTGTGGGGCCAGGAATACAGTCTGTCCACTGATGTAGTGCTCGAATGGAATTCTTAGAGGAATTGGGTTTCTAAGCATCGAATAGAGAATATTAGCGCTTATAAGACACGAACCCGTCATCAGCAGAAAGAGAGCGCCGTATTGTATGACCATTTGAAAGAGTATGAGTGACAATACAAACAGTGGCACCGATAGCCTAAATATCAAATTGTTTTTACATCCAACAAAAAGTACTGCAGAATACAAACCAAATGAGAATATGTGTGAACCAACCCGACAATCGGTAATTACGTCCCCAACGTATGCCTTCCCCATCAAATGTGAAATACTCGGCCACCCATAGAATCGCATTCGGGAGCCCTTTATATTGGGAATAACGGTATTGCTGGTGGAATATACCGGCTGTTCAAACAGAATATTGTCAACAAATTGCTTCAAAAAATATACAGTATGTAATAATTCAATTCAAACCTTGAGGTGGCTTTGGTTGGGAAGGGACTGAGGTAAGGGTACTTATTACAAGCAATATTAATTATCAAAGAGGGTCAACGAAAAGCCCATAAGGATTTTCACAATATAAATATGGGGACTCAGGATATAGTTCCGCAATAGAAACGTTAACGTGAGCACCAGTTCCCGCTTTGTATTGAACCAATGCGTCTACGGAATCGGTTTCCCATTTACTCTCGAAATTACAAACTTTTACAATAATTTAATGCATAATATTAAATAACTAATTTTATAACCAATTGAATTTTTGGATGGTTTATAACTTTGAGGTTATTTTTGTCGGCGTTTTGTGGCTTACCTTTGTTTGGTAGCGATGTAAGTATTATAATTTGTATAAATTCATTTTAAAATATTTTAAAATATTTTAAAATATTTTAAAATATTCAAGAATTTATCTATGAATAGTCATAAATGAATTAATGCTTCAAAATAAAAAATACATAAATATTAAGTTAAGTTAAGTTAATTATATTTGTAAAATATAATGGATAATTAAAATGAAGACCTCTTTGCCTCTAAATCCGGGCAAAACAAACAATATTGAAACGACTATTGAAATAAATGCGAAAATTAAAGCATATATTTCAATATCAATCGAAACGCTGGTTTTATTTTTGTCATAAATGGTGGGAAAGCCTTCAGAACGATAGGCCTGATATAAATTAGTTTCTCTAATCGTTTCATAAGATTCCATGTCTTTTAGACATTTATATTATAAGTGTTAACTCAGTTGACATGACATGATATTAATCAGTGTATTAATTATAGAATTATTATAACTTGAGTTAACACATTTCGTAATTTAAATATTATTAAAATATTATTGTCCTTTTTAAGTGATGTCTTTCCCTCCCAGAGCATCCGATCGTATATTCTTCCGTTATATGTTTTCTATACAGTATAGAGTTGTATATTATTTGTAATTTACATTTATTCATGAATTTACATCAGCTTCTAAAATAGCCATTACTGGTATGCTGTGTATAAATTTAGACACTAATGAAAATTGTTACAATAATCTGAAATTCTGCATTATTCAATAAATAGACTTATAACTAATTTACGATTTTGAGATATTTTATTTGTGAATTATACAAATTATGTTTATGAAAAAACGCAAATAACGAGTTGACCGGAAAATATTATTTGGCCACTAGTGAACATTGTCATGTACATCAGTTTTATTAGAGTTTTTATGGCCCATAGCTTAAATTAAAGGCCTGCAGTATATCCTATATTTTCTATAAAATCTTTATTTACAAGTGATACTATTTATGTTAGGATTAGTTTTAAAAATTTTATACCAATATTTCTATTAAAATTTGACTTTACAAAAAAGTAGGAACAGTTATTATTGCACAAGCTAATATTTACTTACCAGACCATCACTTTAATATCAACTATTTTATTTAGAAAATTGTGATGACAATGTATTCAGCTTACCAATTCATATTGTATTCTAAAACCAACTTTTGCCACTGCTATTCAATATAACTTACTCTGCTTATATTTACATAAAATTCAATTTAATATTTATATCTGCTTCCTAATGTATTATTAATGAGCAAACTATAAATAACTAAGATATTTGTAGTCATGACTTAAAAAATAATGATTAAGAGTAAGATATTTAGTAATTTTAACTATTATTCATATTGCTAGTTTGTAATGTTTTTGATATTTTCATGTGTAAAAATAATAGTATACTTATAATATAGCTAACGGTCTTAATAACTTTTGAGAAGTAACTTTCGTTAATCTTAATTATAATTTGTTTTATACAGAATCTGTATAATTGTTCGTATGTTTGAAATATAAAATTATTTATACAATAATTGCAGTGTTTGAATTGATTTTGAAAATATAAAATCTAATGTTTTTCTGTAATAAATATAATAAATGAGAACAGAATCGCAAAAGAATTTATAATAAAATAAAAAGTTTTGAATTCGTTTTGTTTGTTCATCGAGAATGTGGTGATTATAACGGATAAAGTACTGTAATTAAAAGTAATTAAAGAGTAAAGGGCTTAGAGAGTACCGCAAAACCAATTGGACATCAAATGAATGTAAAAAGAAAATATAAATTTCAAACATTGATTAAGAATCTTATTGTATATTAAATAATATAATTTTTATACAAAAAATTATGATTACATATAATAATAGAAATTGATATAATTAATGGTGAAACCGTTAAATAAATTGTAAAAAATGAATGTATGAATAGGACGGAAGGGACAGTAATTGAGAGAATCGATAGAATGCTGTTTTGTTGACAATCATTAAAGTAATACAAAAGTTGCTTATTATCTGTAAAACATGTTAACAAATCTTAGATATGATTCGTATGAATAAATAATTATTACAAATGAAGTATTTTTGGGAAAATAATCGATGAGAAGAGAGTGGACTAAACGGGCGTCCGATTGATGTCTAAAGCAAACCACTAAACCTAATGTGCCGTCAGTTCACTAAATCAACTGAAATGAATTGCTTGAGTCGGTCTAAGTATTGCGAGTACAGCTCCACGTCGTTATGTCCGGCGCCCTCCACCCACAGGGGCTCCACAGCGCGCGGGCAGCGCTCATACATCGCCAGCCCGTGCGAGAAGTCTATCACCTCGTCCTCTGTGCCGTGGATGACCAGCACAGGCGACGCCACTTTCGGCACTTTGTCGATGCTGTCAACCATACATATGTCAGTCATCACTATATCTGTATACCGTATATGAGTGCAAACCTGGGAAAGGCGTCGAAAAACCAGGTCCTCTTGGTGTTGGGAAAGGCAACTCTCATACCAGACATGAGGGGTGAGTGGAGGATAACGGCGCCCACTTCATAGCGTGAGGCCAAGTCCACTGTAGGAACAGTACCTATGCTTTGGCCGTAGAGTATGACGTGTTCGGGACTAATGCCATACCGAGTCCGCAGCGAATGCCAGGCGGCGTCGATGTCTGCGTACAGGTTCTTCTCGGATGGCTTCCCACCACTGACTCCATAGCCGGAGTAGTCGTAACTGAATATATTGCAGCCAATCCTTGTGCCCAAACCCAAGTAAAAGCTACTCATTTGTCCCAAATCGACGGCATTCCCGTGACTGAACAGAATCGTGTACTTCGGGGTCGGCGTCGCTCTCACGTACATACCTGTGCTCACAGACCAGACAACCAGTGCTCGTATGAGTGATAAGACATTAGAGTTATACATGACATGAAGACATACATGCGATACGATTGCCTCGATTGGTGCGCGAGAAGAAGACCTCGAAGGCGTCGAGTTCTCGCTGAGTGTACTGCCATTCGGCTCTTTCCGTCAAAGACAGCGTCTGTTTCGTGTCCGTCGTGTCCGACACCACGCTATACGTGGGCTCCGGCGGCAGGAAAGCCAACTTCGCGGCGATCCTCGCCGGACAGGGAGGACAGCAAAACAGACAACACAACTCACTGAACGATAGGCCGTTCATCCTTTGCTGGTTTGATGGCGTTGTCGTCACTTCCACTGATGGCTCACTCGAAGACATCGACGACACCGCTTGTCATCAATCACTCACTCACTCGACAACCACTCTATTGTGAGCCGATGTCACTGTCAGCGCTTCCAATGCTTGCGATGAGTGCTTTGGTCACTGATTGGGACACTTGTTGGTGACGACGACCGCCTCAGTGGTGCTCTTGGGATGAAAACAATGGACAGAAACGCTTCAGAATATATGGATTGCAATCACAGCCAAAGTGACAAACACTCCATGTTTTGCACAATCAATGAATGAATCACTGAATCACACACAGAGTCACACTGTTTGTGAACACGCGGTCATTCACACCACTCCCCACTCCCCCCACCAGTCACTCAGTCAATGCTTTCGAGCTGTACGACAACCCCTGTCTCCGTATGACGTCTTATCCAACGCTCACTCCATTTAGTGTACATTATATGTGAACACGAGTTCACTAATCGAGTAAACATTGGAGTCGACGCTAACAAATGGTTGGAAGAAAGGCATAACTAGTGCTATAAAAGCTATTACTGAGCGATAGGTGAGTGGGTGTGAGTTACGCCCTTCCGAGTGCTACGACGACTGTTTGTGATTGAGTAGTGTTTTGGCATTTAGTGTAATGTTTAGTGAAATTAGTGACAATCGGATGAAATGATTGTAATATAAGGGGATTGTTGTGGACATCGAAACGATGGACATGTCTTTGCCGAGGAATACATCACTTCTGGAGAAGTGGTTGGAAGACATGCCGAACAGCAACTCCGCGAATGTCAAGAAAGAGCGCAAAGACTTCCGCGACATCTTTGCCTCGAGTGTCACCAATTCGTCGGACCTCTTGAGTCGCATGAGTGCCGCCTCGCACTCGATCACCACCGGAACCAATGGGTTGCAGACAAACACCAATTCAGTGCATAATAACCACAACAGTAATAGCGTTCACAGCAATGAGACAAAGGTTTGATGGCATGAGAGTGAGTGTCGCGTGAATTGGTGTCACATTTGTGTTGATATTTGCAGACAAATAGTGACGAAAGCGACGACAAGTCGGCGGTGGACTCGTCGAGCGTGAAGGGGGTGTTCGGGTGGCAGAGCGTCGACGACATACCCCTTCCCGTGATTCTTCGAGAGGACGAGAAACTGGTTGCCGTCAGAATCGTCGAGTCAAAGGTTTGTGACAATTATGATGTGTTTGTCGCGTGTATTCACTGTTGAATGCCTTTCCCTCGGATGCGATGAACAGGTGATCGCGAAGTTCAGTGCATTCCTGCCGTGGAATGTCTTCTCGTGTATAAACATAAAGAGCTATTATGTGACCGAAAATGAGGCCAAACTGCTGAACGAAATCAATGGAAACCATTGCGAGTATCAGTTCGGATGCGATCCGTTCACCACTAAAGACGTGGTCGTGTGTCTCCCGGATGTCAGCATTTTGCATAAGTTCTTGAATACGAGTAAAGATATCTTTCATTACGGACTCTCAAAGAGTGGTATCGATTGGTTGGGTTTCATCAACATCTCGGGCTCTTATATCCCATACATCGCCAAAAAGGCGGTCAACGCGACGGCTGTCCACAAATACGTGCCGCAGTCGTTGGTCCACAAGATTGTGCTCTTAGTGAAGGTCGAGAAGATTGAAATGACTGAATGGGACGCCTCTTACCTGCGAATGCTGTGCGCTTATGCGGCCCTCGAGAGCGTTCACATCCAGTCCAACGACTCCCTCTGTCTCCTCAATGACCTCAAGTGGGACTCATCTCTGTGTCCGCTACACATGGAGGAGTGCAGTCCTCCCAACCCTCTCATTCATAACAAATATTCTAATAAAGACTTCGCGTTCTCGAGTCCGCCGTCTGTCGCGCGGACACAGAATCAGGCGATGGATGAGAACAGCAGTTGGTTAATGGCATCGCAGGCCAGCACTTCGTCCAACGCTTTGAGATCTTTACACCAAATCACAAGAGCCGACATCAATGGCTACGCTCTGAAGGCTATTAACTTAAAACCCTATTCAACACAACAGGCGGTGTTTGTGAGCGATGTGGTGACCAAAATGTTTAGAGGCGTATCCATTCTCACCGCTCACTACATCCTCGAGAAGATTCTTCAGGTCAAGCTCTACGAGTGCACGAGGTTTGTATAGGCCGTCCCACACATACCATCCCTCCACTCAAACAACCGTTCATTTGTTGATTACTTTGGTTTCAGATTACATGAGGACTCGTTTATGAGGAGCGGTGTCCGTCCCCTTCAGGGCGATAAACTGGTGGCCGTCGATGTGTTGCGCAAATGTTTGCCACAATTGAGACAAATAATTATGGCCGGAATGCCTCTCACACCCCATTCCTAGCAATGAATTATTTTTCACTTTCATATGATTGTAAATACTATAGTTAATCAAAATAGATTTTAACCAAAAAATAATTATTTATTTTGAAATCACTTAACTTAATGACTCAAACGGGAAATAAAGTAATTTTTAATAATAAAAATAACTTATTTTGAATCCACACTCATTGAGACATTCCATCTGTTCTTATAACTATAAATAGTACGGTATAACATATTTGACAACATTATACAGTACTGTACCGTAACCACACTTCACTGTCATTAGTTCACATATTTGTGTGCCGTAGTACTGTAAACTCGTAATATTACTGTAACTAATGCATGGCTCAATATTGAAGCTAGGTCCTTGCGCAACTTAATAGGTACTGTGCTTGTACCGGTATTACGGTAATAAAATTGATACTCATTCAAATGATTCAGGAATAAATACCGTAAGAAAAAGATAGTTGTGTTTTGAGTCAAATAAACAAAATGGTTAATTCATTAATTTAATTCATAGTTAATTTAGTAAAAACAAAAAATCTAATATAATGGTAAATATAATGATAGATTGATTATACGTAATGAATATACAGTATTCAGTGAATGAAATGCTCACTAATCGTCAGTTCTTTGTCTTACATTTCTTTTTGAATCGGAATTAGTTTTTCGTTTTTTAAAACTAATCGTTTCCTCGGTTTTCATTTTTAGGTTAAATTTATTTTTAACCGAATCAACGGTTTTCTCTTTGAACTCAATCTTCACTTCTTTGTCGTGATCGGCGAATACCGGTGCGACAATTTGTGGCAACTTTTGGTCCGGAAGTTGTAAATCAATCATTTTGTCGTCAAACTCTGTGTGCGCCACTGTTTTCCACCGGCCGTACGGATTATAAGGGCCGGCAGGTAATGGGTCGGTATCTGGGGTCACATCTGAGCTGTACTTTTGCTCCTCGAGTGATAGAAATCCAGACTTGGGTTCAGTCCATTTGGTCTCTAAAATGGGAACACATAACGAGTCAATTGATGCAACAAATGGATAACAAATCGCACCCAAAGTCTCTTTATTCACGTAATAGGTCTTCCCTTCGGATGTCTTTCTCTCCAACCATTTACTCTTCTTCTCCATCTTCTTAGCGATGGTTTCGAGAGCTCGTTGTCGTCCGACCACTAAAGTGGAGCTCTCTTCGGAAGCGGACGAGTCTTCACCGAAACGGCCCAAAGATTTGAGGGTTGACTCGGTTTTGGTGCTCTTCTTGAATAACGATATATTTGTTGCCAACTCTTTGGCGAGACTCGGGTTTTGGTTGACATCGGTGTGGAAGGCCTTCATGGCCTGGGACTCTATTTTCATCATTTCTATGTTGTATTTCTGGTCCTCTCTCTCCTGCTTTGATCCCTGCTTTTGCAACTAATCATTCAAAACACCAATCAATTAATTAATCAATCAATTAATCAATTAATGCTTTCATTCAATGCAAACACAATTGTCTCACGTCTTGTAGTTTTCGCTTCACATTCAACTGATGTCTGAAACCTCTTTCGTGAAACTCAACGCTCTGTCCATCAAATGAACGCAAAGAATATGTCATATAATAAGAGATCACTGAATGAATTGATGGCAAACTCACGGCTTTGTTGTCAGCGAACCAACACTTGCAGAAATCGCAGTACTTCTTGGGAAGTGATTTCCAGTACTCAGACCTTCACACCAAACAAACTCATCACTCAATCAATGCATTCATTACACTGTAATTCAAACTTACATTTCGTGTTGTCTTTAATCCCAATACTAATCCAATGAATGATTACACAATCAAACGGTAACTGTAATAACAAACCAAATGTTTTGCTTTCACTAAAAAACACAAATTATTTTGAAAGCCTTAAAGTTGGAAAATAAATTACGTTAATTTATAAATTTAATTTTATGTATAATTTAATTGATCGAGAGCATATTTTGCAAATAAAAAGTTAAATAAAACTATAGTCTAATTATAATTCACTAAATTTAGCACTTATTTGATGCTATAATTTGGAAATAAACTTAAATTGAGTGTTGGATTAGTATTGAGACATAATTGATGAGCAAATATGTAACCAAACAGTGACTCAATTGGTTTGACGTTCACTGCAGTGAGTGATTGATTGGATCGGTATTGTCGGACAAGAATGGGTCACATCTTCGGCAAACCTAAACCCAAGAAGAAGCCTGAGATCACTGAAGAGGACAAAGCGATTCTGGTTTGTTAGCAACCACTCCATTGGTGTCAATGTAGCCATAATGTGGTCATTCTCTTGACAGCAACTCAAACAACAAAGAGATTCCGTGAAGAAGTATCAGAAGAGGATTAAGGATGAGTTGGACAAAGAGAGACAAATCGCCCGACAGTTACTCAAAGACAACAAAAAAGAGTTGAGTGTTTGGCACGTGTTTTGGTGATTGTGTTTCAATTGGTTGTGTCATTGAATCGATAGGAAAGCGCTTCTGTTGCTGAAGAAGAAGAAATACATGGAAAGCATTTTGGATAAGACTGACAACCAGTTAATGAATTTGGAGAAACTGGTCACTGATATCGAGTTCAGTCGAGTCGAGGCAACCGTCTTAGAGGGTCTTCAGACCGGAAACGAAGCACTCAAACAATTGCATCAAATCTTATCCATCGATAAAATTGAAGAGATTTTAGAAGAAACTAAAGAAGGAATTGAAAAACAAAAGGTTTGTTTGAGTGATATCTTAGAGGCAGTGATAACGTGTCGATTGTATTGATCAGGAAATCGATGACCTCCTCCTCGGAATGAACATCGAAACGGATGAACAGAGTTTATTGCAAGAGTTGGATCAGATGTTAGCCCCGACTGTACCTGATTTGCCAGAAGTGCCACAAAACGAACGTAAGATTAAAGTGATATTCAATTCGTTTGCAAACTTATCACAAATTGTATGCATTTAGCGGTTATTGTTGAGTCGGCGGAAGACGAGGAACCGAAGGAAAGGGAACACAAGGAAAGGGATCACAAGGAAAAACAGCCCAAAGTAGCGCTCCTCGAGTCATGAAATTAATAGTCAATACATTTCTGGCTGTAATTTACAGTACAAGACATACACTAATATATTAATTACAAAGTTTTATACAACAACTATTTAATTATAAATTATTTTACAAGTATTCAAATGAATTGCGATATTTTTATTAAAATTAAATATTTTTTATTTGAATACTAAATGATTTATAAATCGATATCTTGTAATACATTTTCTATCAAAAATAGTTTGAACGCGAATTCAAACGACAAATACTTATCACTCATATTGTGAATGGCGTTAAGTTGAGCTCTCGTCGTATGTAAAACAGGATATAGGCTTTGCTTTGGGACACCGTTTGCTCGTCACATATGGTCACTGAGCTGTCATTGAAGTGATGCCAACAATCTGTTCGTCAATTAATCCATTAGTCAAACATAAATGAATCCAATGGATGGATGAACGGAGAGAACAAACCTTCGTGTGTGGCGTATGACGTGTAGTGTCCAGAGGCGGCACCGTTACCATGATGGACGATAACTGCCGCCAAGTCGTAGAAAGTACTGCCGCAGGCGCTGCCCCGAGTCTCGTGCTTGGGATGAATCGATGGTTATTAGCAAATCAAATAACTCATCAATGCTTAGGACATACCATATTGGAGAGGACGTACTGACTCATGTCGAGACCATTTACCGGAAATTCTATATAATTATCTAATTTGGTTCTGAAGAAGTTAGTCCATCGAAAACGTTTCAGATGTAGACAAAGGACCTGAAATGCAACAGATTTAGTGATACTGTAAGCGGCGGTGAATGCGATGGTGTCTCACATTAGGCAGTCTCCTAATCCAGAAGCGTTTTGTTGACCTTTGCTTTTGCTTACAATTCGGACAGTTATAGAGCTCTGTCTCCGCGAGTTCTTCGAGTTCCGTAAAACTCGAGAGACAGTCAGACAAATGGCAGCTCTGAGGCGTCTCTTCGCCATTATTGACGCCATTCTTCATGTTTGAGCACATCTGAGGAATGTCTAGCGATAAGTCGAGGAATGGGTCGTGTTTCTTGGACTCAGTGCCACAGACAAGACACGTCACTTCGTTCTGAAGTACACCACCGAATATGGACGTCACGATCGTGGACTTACCCGCCGGTAATAAATAGAGGTTTTGTGTGTTATTATGTCTTTTGGTAGGATTGGGAACAATGCCTAACAATTCGGTGTGAAGTCTATCTAACATATATCGCAGAAACTCGTGAGCGTCCTGTTGCTGGTAACCCCTGAACCGCGGAACCACTTTCCATATCACAGCAAACAAAGATTCGGGAGATATGGCAGACTTACTGCCCTCCCAAAGGGATATCATTGTCTTTCGCAGCTCTTCAGCTAATAGGACGTCGCCGTCAGTCATACGTCGGGCCGAAGCGATGGCCGTTCGGCTACCGTTCCACCGATGCTTATCCAAAGCCGGCAGTTGTTTGAAATAACAGCTAAACTGCTGGATATTACTCAGTGACTGAAGGACAGCATTCATGAAACAAGTGTTCCCTAAATTCCTGAGCCCTGCCGCCCGAGCTTTGGCCAGCCTTTGGTTCGCTTTCATCTGTTTATTCAAACAATTTTTACAATTAATAAACATTTATAACAAACTATGATTGCATTCAGTGTTCATTAAATTTATGAATATTTGATACCTTTTTCCTATTATTAGACTTTTGTTGGTTTTCATGCGAACCCTTTCTCTTGACGGCCCCACCGGTCGACACGTTTTGTGCGTTTTGTTGGTTTTGACGACAGTTTTCCGGACTATTCATACAATGAGTTCATTAGTCAATAAATGTATACATATTTGAATTGAATGACAACTCATTTTATTACTCATTATTTGATAAGAATTTATTCCTCAGGTGTTGTAAGAGTCGAGATCGGGTGTCGTTTACCACGAATTCATCACAGAGATAGCTATTGGACACAAGACACACACACTTTACAACCATTGCATTGATTGCGATCGCATTCACATGATATACAATATGTGAGATAAGATTGAGTGTCGGAGTGTCAGCACCGCTGCAAACACTATGCAATCCATAGCACCTCACGAGTGGACTCACCAGAAGACTGCAAAGGTATTGGCGTCGAAGCAGAGGGAGTGTCCGGGCGTCTGCTCGAAGTGCTCTTTGGCGTGACCGCAGACATAGCGACCACATCCCACTTGTCCGCAATGGACACAAATCCACGAATTCTTCTTCGACTTGCAGTCCGAGCACTCGAACTCCTGTACAGCGCATAACGTCTTCAGATGGGAACTGTTGGCCAGTTTGGATCCATTGAGTTGACACACGTGCGGACAATCCATGGCTCACCACAACACGTGCGCCGATGACAGTCCAGAGGTTGCGGACTGGCTTTGGATGCGATTCACTGCCAATAGCGTCACAAATGTCTCACAAATAGTGTTATGTTATGGATGTGTGCGTTGAGAGGCAGAGCGGCTCCCAGTCCTCACACACCTGTGCTTGTGGTCAGTCGTACACTGCGATCGTGTCGTGTATGTAGTGCTCACTTGGGATCAGTTAATCGTCGATCGGATGAACGCTTGGATTCACTGCCACGACAGTCACTGCAGACAAAGACTACACACTATTATCAGTGCATTAGTGTTGAGTCTAATGAGTGAAGCAATGAGTGATTCATTGAATACATTGAATGCAACTTTCAATCACTGCACCACTCAATCACTGCTCACAACTCTACCCAATACTACAATGCCTTTCATTCATCAATCACTCGACCATTCATTCAATATTTCGGTCATTCATTCACAAAACAATTCAAATTTACTCATTAGTTTTCCACTCATTTATGATATGATACACGTCTCTAACATACGATATGCTAATTATACATCACTTTTAAAACTAACCATTAATTATAAAAAGTTTATTCAATCAACTTATCACAACAACCATTGGTTTAAATTTAATTTGGTATTAAAACTAAAGTTACACTAAACTATTGGATACTGAGATGTCTAAAGCACTTGTTGTTGTGATTAAAATCAATTTAAAGAGTGGTAAATAGTGACGATTAATACGATTATAATTTATAAAATTAAAACTTAATTCACAAAAAAAGGGAAAATAATGAAATGTAACGATATTTCTGAACGTGTGTTGAGTAGAGGTGTTGAACGCATTGAATGTGTTTTGTTTTGAATGCAATGTTGGACTGAATTAGCGGTCATTCAGTCATTCAATTGTCGCGCAAACCATGGGATCAACTGAAGAGTCTTTGGCGTCAAATAAGTGCCAATTCTTCGTCAAGAAGGGTAACACTAATCGTCGGATCCGTCAGAATATAAGACGCGACGAGACGTCGAGCGAAGAAGAGGACAACGAGTCGGCGGTTGTGGTGAACAGCAGCCGAAGAGCCGACAGAAACCCATTGATTCAGTCGACCGTATCGTTCAGTCGTCTCAAGAAACGGAAAGTGGTTTCGGAGGACAAGGAAGACGGCAACGACTCGGACGACGACTCGTTTCGAGTCACCTATCGGTCCAACAAAAGCGGCCAAAGAGAGGGTCCCTCAGACATGGGCGCGACGTCTGTGATCCAGACGGAGACCGACAAAGCGATGGACGCGCAGAGCATCTTCGAGAGGGCGCAGGAAGTGAACGAAACACTGAAAGGCAAAGAAGACGACCACATCTACAGAGGACTCAATAATTACGTTCAATACAAGTCCAAGAAAGACACGCCTCAGGGGAACGCCTCGTCCGGACACGTCCGCAACGGTCCCGTCCGCGCGCCCGAAAACATCCGGTCGACCGTCCGGTGGGACTATCAGCCGGACCTCTGCAAGGACTACAAGGAGACGGGCTTTTGCGGGTTCGGCGACTCCTGTATATTCCTTCACGACAGGTCTGACTACAAGTCCGGCTGGCAGTTGGAAATGGATGCCCAGCACAAGGATCACGACGACGACGACCCCAACAAGTATGTCATCGAAGAGGACGACGACCTGCCCTTCAAGTGNAATGAATGAATGACTCGACAGATGGCGAGTGAGAGGAAGGCATGCATTGACTGATTGAATGCATAAACAAAACACTGTTTTTGAACATCAAATGAATCGGTCGACCGGTCGGTGAAGTGTTGCGATGAGTGGTCTGTCGTGTTATCGTCGGGTCAACCAATGGATGGTATTCTCGAGACAATGGTCTATATATGACGCCAAATGGCAGGACGTGTTTGATTCGGCAGAACTCGTGGCCCGACATCTTCACGGGCGCCACAAACCCATCTACGATCCGGACCAGGATTTCGGGGACCACGTGGTCGTCATAAACGCCAAACACGTGGCGATGCCGGGCGACGAGTGGCGGTACCGCTACTACTATCACCACACCAACTATGCCCGGGGCAAACACTGGGCCCCCGCACACGCCCTCCACAACAAAGACCCCACTCTTGTCTTATATAAAGCCATATATAAAGCCGTCGGAAATATTAGACTCAAACGACAGGAAATGATCGCTCGCTTACATATGTATCCCGAAGAAGCGGTTCCCAAACATATCCTTCAGAATGTTTCGGATCAGATCAGACAACTCCGTCCCCTTTCCAAACGCGTCGATGAGTTCACCGAAGAAGAGGTGAAAGAGTTTCCTAAGATTTTCGATTATCCCGAAGACTATGCCATCAAATAATCACTTTTTTGTATCATTTAAATAATTCTCAAATATAATAGTAGATCTAGTTTTAAAATTTCTGTAGATTTAAATCATTAATAAATAAATAATAAATAACTTAAAATTAATTTTATGAATGCATTGAACTTTATTTTCGGTTTTAAATGATCGCACTTGAAGTACAAGTGTTGCAACCATTCATAGGGATACCCATTGTTTAGTGATTGTACACAATATTTCAAATGTGTAGTCATTTTGACAATTTATTGATTGAATTTACAATTTATAAAAAATAATTAAATTACGAGTTTTATAATGAAATGTAGACATCATATGAAT